CTTTCAATTGAACACAGTCACTCGCCATATTTCAGAAATATCATCATAGGAAATGACTCTGAAAATGGTGACAATATAATATTTTTTAATTAAATATTCTTAAAAATTCCAGATTTTATTCTAGTTAATCATATTATAAATATCTTAGCTTTGTTATAATTATAATTTAATATTTAATATATTATAATTATTCTAATCAAATAACTTATTATAATATTATTAAACTTTTTCTTATACAGTAATTAATAGAATTATAAAATTACACATATAATTTTATTAATAAAATATAATAAAATTAAAACTTTTATATAAGACAAAAAATTTAATTTTTATTATATTTTATTAATAAAATTATATGATTTCATAATTTTGTTAGCTATTATATAACTTTATAAATTCTAAAATAATAATAATATAAAGAAAAAATTCATATTTTTATATTTTATTAATAAATTTTTTTAATATTTTATTTTTTTAATTATTATTATATATAATAATTAACAAATTATAAATTATAACTAATAAAATATAAAATTTTTATCTTATATAAAAATTTTTAATTTTATTAATAAATTTTTTAAAATAAAAATTATAAATTATATTTTAATATATATTTTTTTATTAATAAAATCTAATAAAAATAAAGATTTTGTTTTATATAAAAATCTTCAATTTTATTAATAAATATTTTTTATTTTTATATTAAAATAAAAATTATAAATTATATTTTAATATATATTTTTCTAACAAAATTATTTTAAAAAATTATTACAAAAATTTTTTATATTTTAATTATAAATAATTTGTAACTAAAATAACTTTGTTAAATTAAATCTAAAAAATCCAAAAAAATATGTTAAAATATAATTTATAATTTTTATTTTAATATAAAATATTTATTAGTAAAATTGAAAATTTATATATATATATTTACAATATATTACTAAAAATTCCAAAAATAAATTTGGTATTTTAAAATTTAATATCTTAATATTTAGTGATTTTATACAATTAAAGATATTACTATTAGATTCATCTCAACTATATGAATCTAATAGTAATATTTTTGTTCAAATAAAATTACTAAATATTAAAATATCAAATTTCAAAGTAACAAATTCATTTTTGATAATATATTGTAAAAATGTATATAAGACAAAAATTTCAATTTTTATTAATAATATACATGTGCTAAATTATTTATTTTAAAATTATTAAGCAAAAATATATTTGTATTAGAATTTTCAATTAACTAAAAAATTAACTTTTAATAAATAATTTGAATTATTTTATAAAGCAAAATTTAAGATATAAAAAAGCTAACAAGCCAAACAAGCTTATAATTTTTTATTTTCTTGTTGCAAATTAACAATTATAATTGTTATCAAAAAATCAAAATAAAAAATCTACTATAGAATATAATAACAATTGGCACGTTACAAATGACAACAATGAAAATAATAAAAGCAAAGATTTTGGATTTATTGAAAAGCACCAGCAGGTATTATTTTTAACACTGAATATATTTATTATTATTATAATTATAATTATAATTAACATTATTACTAGTGATTGACTGACTGATGGATTATTTAGAAAATATAAAAAATTTCATATATAATATATACAGAAATACAAAAGAAAAATAAAGAGTCGATTTTTTTAAGGTTGTTTTTTAAGAATCGACTGCTAAATGAATAGAATCTCTATAATAATTTAACATGTACGCCCAGAAACAACAACGTCCGAATAAATGAACATCTCACCAAAAAACTATAATTAATAAAATTTCTAAGAACACCACTATCTAATAAAAAGGAATTATTATATATATAAATATTAATATAATATAATAAAATAAAATATAAAAATTGTATACGAAAAAGTATCAATTGATGGATTAAACGAACGAATGAACGAATGAATTGATGAATGAATGTATTAAATGTTCCTAAACATTGTATGTCTCTTTTCAGCTCTTATCTTGCGACGTTGTTGTATCTCCATGATATGCGTTTCACAGTATTGCTTATTGTCAAAACTGTAATAAGTATCGTTAAGTGGGTTATGACATACCTATTATTATTAAAATAAATGTAATTTTAGATTAATACATATTTATTTTTGATTATTTGATAATAAAAAAAAAGCTAAATGAAAACGAAAAAATCAACTTACATAACAAACAAAACAAATTGGATGAAAACGCCATGACTCTATTGTCTGAGCACAAGGACCTTCAATAGGTTCATCGCAATTTTTGCAGAGAGAATTGTTTAGTTCGTGATAATGGCGTTTACAATAAGGTGCATTACCAAATACGTAAAAAGATCTGTCAGGGAAAGGTTGATGACACGTCTATAATAAATATTCAAAATCATTAATACAAGTTTATCATATAATAATCTGAAATACAAAGATTAAATATATATAATAAATATTTACGTGACATCCAAAACAGTTCACATGCCATTTTCCCTCCAATTTGCCATCACTAGCACTCACGGCCTCTCGTTCTACTGGCAGACCACAACTCCGACATTTTGGTAAGAATAAATCAGCGAAATCCGATGGACAATATACTTTATTTTTACGTTCAACATGACCTATATTAGGGTCTATAGGTTTTTCACATTGAGCACATAAAAGATGTTCGGGATGCCACGGTCTTCCAAGTGCCCACATAGGAGATGAATCAATTGTGTGATTACTGGATAATAACATAAAATATTAAATTAAATAATAGGGATATTTCAAATCATAATTTTTAATAAAATTATTACCAATAACCGCAAATATCCATTTGAACTTGTTGATTATTATAATTAGAATGACCATGATTGCTAGTGGAACTTTTGTTACGTGAATGAGTGGAGGCGTCAGATGGGGAATGATGATGTCGTTGACTTTGTTGATTGGAACTTAATCTCGCATCCATATTAGCCATTTCTTTTATTAAATCATCAATTAAACTGTCATTCGTATTTAAAACATTATTTTCTTGTGGTAAAATTCCTGGACCTTTTGTGAATTAATTAATTAATTATTATATAATTATATAATTATATAAATAAGTTAATCAAGAACATAACTTACCAGAATTATTATTAGTATTATTGGAATTTGAACGCTGAGATGAAAACGAACCATCTCTACTCTTGGCATTCTTATGATGCAGTGGATCAGGAATGTTATTATTATTTGGTGGTAAATAAGGATTCGGAGATGTAGTTCTAGGCAATGACAATCCGTAATTATTTTGATCAGAAGAAGGATTACGTGAACTATGTTGTGATCTAGACTTATCATATCCAGATCCGGAATTGGGTACTGCCGGTGATAACGGAGGGATCGGAGATGTAGTTCTAGGCAACGACAATCCGTAGTTATTTTGATCAGAAGAAAGGTTACGTGGATTATGTTGTGATCCAGAATTGGGCGCTGCCGGTGGTAACGAAGGGACTGGAGGCTGCTGTTGTTGTATTTGATTGTTAATTTTTCTATCTTGAGAATATTTACGCGCATGATTTTGTTGATCAAACCGAGTATCATACGCTTGGTTGGTGGGTGATGGTGGATATCTATTGTTATTACCATTACCATTACCATATGGTACAGGTGACCTGCTTCTATCATCATAACTAGGTTTAGGACTATGACTATTATTATTATTATTACTACTATTACTATTACTATGGAGATGATTATTAGCATTATTGTTTGAATATTTATCAAATTGTGGTGGTTGTTGATGCAATGATTTAGTCAGTCCATAAGGATCATCACTATTAGATCGTAAATTTTCCTCGAATGATGGTTGTTGTTCACGATCAAAAGGCCCCGTCTGTTTTCTAGTAGGATATTTATCTTGTTGTTTAAACCCGCGATATTGCTCCGACTGTGATGGTTGATAATGATTATTATTATTTGATCTATTATTATTATTATTATCATATTGTTCTGGACTTGAATAATTATTTTTGTTATTATTATTAGTACCAGAGTAATTATTTCCACCCATAGGATTAAAATGATTATTATTATTATTATTATACTGTAGTTGTTGGCGTTGATAATTCATGTTCGATGGATATTGATCAGGTCGTTTATAAGGATCAGGAGGATATCCTTTATTAATACTACCATTACTATTACTATTATTCCCATTATAGAGATCTCTGTTATGCGGATTAATATTATTTGCAGGTGCAGCAGGAAAACGCGGCGGAGAATCCATCTGTTTACTTTTATTATACTTTTCCATGAATGATCCGGCTTTACCTACTCCGGTAGTAACTGGTGTTGTGGGTGGTGGTTGATTTTGATTTGAAATGGAATAAGGAATTGGTGGTTCTTGTGGTGATTTAGGAATTAAATTTGTATATTTATTACGAGTATGATGATTAGTAACAGTTGAATTATGTGTTGAACTCGAATAACCCGAGTCCGTGGGTGATATGTTACTATTATCAAATGATGCATTTTGTGAATGTGGTATTTGTTGCCCATATTGATTCGGATAATTGTTGTTGTTGTTGTAAGGGTTGTCTGAGAGTAATTTATTATTATATATAAAATTAATTAGAATAATTATGCTGGAGAAAAAAAAATAATAAAAGCGTAAAACAATATAACCACCCACCTTGTTGTTTAGATATATTATTTAAGTTTTTATTACTATTTTGGTACATAGCAGGTAATGCAGGAACAGCAGGTGCGCCCTTACACATATGCTCATCGAGCCTTCGAAAATCGACTGCTTCTTCACAAAGAGAACATTTCATCGACGATAAAAGTTGGCTAATTCGTGGCTCTGGCGCGTTCACGTTCATTTGGTAATTTCGGGCAAACAACAAGCACAATATAAATTTACTAGTATATAGACTAATAAATAGTATTCTATTCTATATTCAGTTTTATACAGGGAATGAATCGTTTTTGGTGTGAAATAGTGAGAGTAAGTATAATTGTACAAGATGTGTCAAGAAAGAAAATAAATACAAGACAATACTTCTAATTATATATATATATCGATATTACAATAAATAAAGCAGTCGAGTTTGGAATTGGAAAATAAACGTGGGTACACAACGTTAGTAGAGTTGCATGTGCAATTATGTACGATTGTAAATTTTTTTGTGGTTAATTTTTAGGTATCGTGGCATACAAGACTTCGGGTCATAATTGAAAGAATGGGTTGTTAAATAATTTTTATCGTTATCAATATTTAATTAAAATTATCCATAAAAAGATTTTTGATCTACAGTAATAAATAAAACGAGAACGAGATCGTAAGATTAATTAAATTCATTATAATTTTTACTGTGAATTTCGAATGATTTTTGTTTTGTAACAAATGTCATATAAGATAATCTCTATAAAATTAAACCAGGGGGCGGGGTGAAAGTAGGACTGGTTGCCTAAACTGTTTGATAAAGTAAAAACTAAGTTTCGGCAAAAAGATCTTGTAGTCAAAACTTACAGCCCCTCAAAAAGTAACACCCGATTTAAATTTGATTTTATACCTGAGTTAGGGTTAGGGTTAGTATTGTAGTTGTTACATGTAACAATTATTGAAATAATTATTATAAAAATTTACATAGCTCGAAAATTCCCATTTTTTATATGTTTTATTATATAATTTGGACCGGGTGTTACTTTTTGGGGTACCCGCTCTTCCACAGAAGTAACTCTTCTAGTTATATTCAGATCATGAAATTTAGCGTTAGAGGATTTTGTGTTTCCAAAAGTGTTATTCTGCCCAATCGAAGAAAACTTCTTTTAATATCAAACTGTTGTACCACAAGATGTTGTAATAACTGACATTAACTGTTTCACATGATCATTCACAGATTTTTCCCATTTAGCGACGGAATCAAGCAACAATGCAAGAAGGCCAAAGTGTTTCACACATGCATACTTTTCAAGCTAATTTTAACAATATTAAGAAGGCGAATCTGAATTCAAATTTGCCTAAACTACAAAAAATACTAAGTAAAGACACCTCATTTCATAACAACTCACCTCGATCGCCAACCGAACCACCCGAAATCTACTCAATAAAAGGTACAAACTAAATCTCTTATTCAAGATTTCTCTTTTAGAATTCTAATCTTTTTCTTTTTAATTACACTCGAACCTTTTCATGACAATAATAGACTTAGAAATCATATCAGACATTATAACATTTGCTTCACACACCTCGCCTAATGCGTCACCCGAGAACACACCTTTTTCATTTTTGAGTCTGTTTCGTGCGTACGATATAGTGCTGCGAACGCGCAAGATTGACCCATCAACAGATAAAATATATTACAAGTTTTTATTGAAACTTTGTTGTGAGCCGGGCGAGAATTGGGAAGAGAAATTTGAAAATGTTGTAAGGGTACGTGTTTGAGCGTGTCTTTATGTATTTTACATAACGAAGGATTCATTGAATGGAAAATTAATCAACAAATCAAATCAATCAATCAATCAATTAATCGGTGGTAAAATAGAATCTTGGATTATTTGCTCAAGTTGTAAAATCCTACGATCAAATTATAGAGCCAATTGGACCACCGATCTCTAACAATTTTAAGTCATCTGAGAATATAAATAAGGTAAAACCCATTTTCTTTATGAAAAAACGAACTTTATGGATAAACTAATTTATGATCTCTTCTATCACAGATTCCTGAATTATCAATTAAGGTAAAAGGGCTTTGAGAAGACGCTTCTACGAGAACATCTTAACTAGCATCCATTTTTAACCAGAGAAAGATGTTTCCAGGATTTACCCATCAATAAAAAAGAAAAAAACCTGAAAAGTGACACGATCTCTCAACCACAATCGCGTCACCCAGTAAAAAATACTGCATCCGTGGGACCTGCAAAGAATGAATTTTTGTCAATTGAGAAACCAGCAGCAACCTATATACACCTATCGCCGCCGCTTCCTCCCCCATTAGGTCATTCTATCGAAGATGGCGGTACTATATCCAAAAAAAATATTAATAAATTATTAACAGATGAAGATAGAGCATCTACAATAGTGACTAAACAAAAACCGCTTAATGTTGCTATTGCGGTTAGTATTATTAGATTATTTATATTTCTCGAAAAGTAGTTTCTTTGGGCCTCTTTACAGAAATCTTAATTTAGTTTATGTTGTTTCAATTGATTAAAAGTCTCAAGATACCAAGCAAAAAGATGCTCCTTTAACTCCGTCTTTTGGGAAAAACCCAAATTTTGAGGAGGTAAGGATATTTTTTTAGTTTCCTCACATAAATAATACAAACCAATTCAGACTTATGCACTGTACTAAATCCTTAGAGGGATGTATCTATAACAGTCAACGAAGCTCAAATAACAACCATATCAATACAACAGCAGCCTAAGGAGACGATTTCTGCTCAAATTATTCAAACAGAGGCTCCGGAAAGCAAACCTTTAGCTAATTTGGATAAATTACCATCTATTCCTGATCAACTAGAAAATCTTCGGGATTGCTTTCAAGCTTGGCGAAGGTATTTATTCATTGGAACATTTGAAAGATAATTTTCCTTTTATTATGATTATAAGAATTCTTCTTTTAGATATACCTCTATTCTTCGTAAAAGACGAACCCACATAATTAAACAATGGCAAACAGCATCCGAGCATCATAAAAATAGATTGATGACAAAATGTACGCGTCAATGGCGAATTGTATATACGAGTCAAAAAGTAATTTATATTATAGTTTATTTTATTCGTATTAATATGTATATCTAAACCCTTAATAATAATTTCATCAATCATATTTTAATAGGAGAAAATAAAAATTGCTGATAACCATTATAATAGAAAATTACTGAAAGAAGTTTTTGATTTTTGGCAAGGTCGAAAAAACAAGAGTAAGATTTTTTTATTTATTATTTATTATTGACGATATTACTTAATAGTAATTTAATTCTCATATATTACAAGTTTTATTAAATGCACGCAAATCTGTTGTGCACTATCAGAAAGGCAAAGTTGATAAATATTTTCGGCTTTGGATTTCAAGGTAATAACAACTGATGATTTTTTATGCTTGGAAACATACCTGTATTTATTTTTCTCGTTAAAATACAAATTCGTGCATCACAAGACTGAGCATGGTCAATGAAACTCAGCAAATGGTCGAGGAAAGAGTAGACGTAGATGAAAGCACGCCGGATTTATTGGGTGCTGGTCTCACCAACCAAGAAAATAAGAAAATTATGTTACAAAAATCCTTTAAAATATGGCGTACAAATTTTATTTATTCGCTTCTTAAACAATCAAATGAGTTTGAATTGATGGAACGGTTCTTTGCAACGTGGTCGATATCCTTTTTTTAGTTTTCTGAAAGATCAACATTTTTGATAAAATTCGTGATTACAAATTCTTGACTCTACAAAACGACAAATATTATTCAAGACAACTTGCATTAGCAAGGAAATATAGCATGCTAGATGCAAACAATGAAGGAAACTTAACACAGGCGGCTTTTGAGCGATGGAAAGATAAATATAACAATTATGTGTCGTTGGGAGAAATGGCCGAGGTATGTTATCATTTTGATAAACTTGCATTTTTTTGGGTCACTTATAATCTATTGTATATAATAGGATGACTATAATGTGAATTTGGTTAAAGTCTCTTTCTTACATTGGAAAAGAGTGCTGAGACGAAAGAAAAATACAGAAATTAGAGCAGATTGGAAGTTCAGGGAAAAATATTTTGTCGAGTGGTATAGCAGGTTTGTATTGGTTAATTGTCAATCAAAGCATTTATTGTATTCATTAATGTATCGAAAATAGGACTTACCAAAAATGGAAAGGGAGACATCCTCGAAAGCTAGTTGCAATAAAGATTTTACAAGGTATTTTTCAAAATATGCTTTTCTTTATTTACTAATACATTAATTCATAATTCGTGTTTTGTTTCTTGGCTAGAATGGCATCGTTGGGCTAAAGAGCGTCATAAAGAAAGAATGGCGTTAGAAACGGCTACAATTGCAAAATCCGATGCGGTAAATTTCGAAGAGGATAGATTATTATGTATTGATGTTTAATAAATTGCGGATTACTTACACAATTGGGTTGATATACACATCGTTCTTGTTCTTGTCTAACTATTATTAGCTTATTGTGATCTTGATCTTAATATTTTATTCCATGATTGAAATAATTTTCGATTCTACAATGAATCTAAGTAAGAACGATTCTAAAACCCAAAGTATCATCTATTTTTAATACTATCAGATAATACAAAGAAAATGTTTCATGTATTGGATTCAACGATATCAGACATTGGAAATCATGGAAAGTCAAGGAATTGCACGTTGGGAGAGCAACACGTTATCGTAAGTTGCAGCAGATGTTTCACACTACTGTGTTCGCAGAACCAGTCAGTAGATGCTTATTGACTACTCTTGGCGGGTAGGAAATCATTCGCACAATTAAATTTAATCTGGTCGAAAATTCAAGTTAATAAGCAACAAGCGAGTGTCTTTGCCGACTATTGGATACTCAAAAGAACATTTCGACGAATGCGAGAATATCATGAGCACATTCAAGGTCTCGAATTACAGTGCAACGCACAAATTAAAAAGACTCAATGTGCACGAGCACGATGCGTTTTGCGTGTATGGCTTGTTTCTTTGTTACGATATCAAACTCGACAGGAAAAAGTTGATATTGCCTATAAAAGAAACATGAGGCAAAAATATTTTAATCAGTGGCAGTGCAAAATGCGTTCTATACGACATCGACAAGTTATTATAGTTGCACAATCAGACAAGCGAAATCAAGCCAAATATTTTCAGAAATGGAAAAAAGCGTATCGGAAACAAATAGAATTAATTCAAAAAGCAGATGCCGCAAACGATCTCCGTACCAAGCGAAGCTTTTTCAGATTTTGGAAACTTCGATATGCACACTCAAAGAAAATGGGTATTTTAGCTATCGACAAATACAATACCCATATCTTTCACATTGCATTTAATTTATGGAATAAATGGAAATCAAAAACAATCTCCTACGAAAAATTACTACAACTAGCTCAGGAATACTACAATCGCCGACTACTCACCCCGTCGTTCTCTAGATGGTGTCAAATCTGGCAAGTTTACGAACATGATCGAGCAACTGCCTTGTCTCATTACGAGAGAAGGTTGTTTATGGGAACCTGGGCGAATATGAGCGCACGATATCATCGTATTCTGGATGACCGTTGGAAAATGGAAGCAAATGCTCGGTTAGTGCGAAACGTTGATTTTCGACGGCAAAGGGACGCGTTTATTGGTACAAATTTTTTGCGCTTGATGATTTTTCGTGTTGTGCTCTTTTCTGTTTATTGTTGTTGTTGTTGTTTGTCTTTAAATCATATATGATACTTGACTTTTTTCAGCTTGGCGCATTTTTGTTAAAAGGCGAAAAGATTTACGTCTGGAGTTTGAAAGCATAGTTCAGATGTTACCAGAAAGATTGACTCGTGAATATGGAATTAGTGCTGTATATCTTACTTTGCTTTTGAGAATTTCTATGATGAAATGGAAAGAAAAAAAGCAAAAAGCACAAAGATCTATATTATTATAATAAATATATCTGATTTACTGGGTTTCTCAATTATAGAATGCACTCACACAGATTGCATTCTAACCAATCAAATTGCGAATTTATGATGAAAATCACAATTTAATTGGCTGTAATTCTTTTATTATAAGAATTTAACAAATTATTTTTTTGTTGCAAGAAATAGAATTCTTATTCTCATTTGGAATATAGAAATATACAGTGATTATAAAATGAAAAATATATGATTGAGTATTGGTATGATATATTTTAATTGTCATAAGTATTTTTTGTATAATCTTTGAGCTTTAGCATTTTTTGTATATTAATTAAATTTATATATTATTATATCAATTATTCTATCTATCTCAAATAAAATAGAGATGATAATATAGTCTTTGTTATTTAGAATATTTATATATAAAGCTAGTGATTCTTTTTTTGCTGGATAAATTGATAAAGTTTCAAGTTGTATATTATTATTTATTACTTTTTGAATTTCTATTATCTATTTCTAGGTATGATACTGAAACTGGATATAGTTCCAATTTGTTTTAAATATTACATTACAATATTAGTATTTATTTTAGTTAAAAATTTATAATCAAATTCATTTATTTTAATTTTTAAGCCTAAAAAAAATATGAGATATTGATAAACAAGTTATTTGTCACCTGTTGAATTTTCTCTAGAATTTGATTATGATCAATAAATATATATAGATCAAACATATTAAAAGTGTATATAAATATATAAGAGTATAAAAAAATATATAGATAAAAAAATAAAAGAAATATATTATAAATAAAAAATTATTAAAGTTATTTTTGGTATTATTTTAAATACTTATAATATAATTTTATCTATTGTATATTATTTCAAAATTACAGATAATTGAAAAATATGATATTATATGAATTATCCTTATTATATTTAAAATATAAAATATGACTAGTTATCTATAGATCTGTCTAAGAACTATATAAGAGTTATAGGATCAGTTAATTTTATATATAATTAAAGTTTGAGAGTTGTTTCAGTAATGAGATCACTTATTTTAATCATTTTATAGAATTGAAAATTATTGATATAATCATTATTAAGATATTTATATTCACAAAAATTGAAATAAAACCAAACTTTATATTTGGTTTTTGTTATAGAATTTAAAGTTGAATTAGAAGATCTTTCTTATTTTTATATTAGATTTTTGCTTTTTTATTTGTAAATAATATTGAGTTTTTTGGTAATTAATTAAGATTTTGCAATATGATATCCAGATTTTTTCTGAACTTGTTTGAAATTCAAATAATGAATTTTGGAATAACTGTTCTGATTTATTTGATATCTATATTATATGAATTAATAAATTAAGTAAGTGAATATAAAACAATATCAGAATATATTTCTTGAAATTAAATTTTTTTTCTATTTGAATAATTACCAATGATATATTTTATTATATTAAGAAAGTATTAGTAAATATTTGAATATTAAGAAAAAAAATGTATTTATTATAGTTATTGATACTTTTTAATAAATTTTGTTAATAATGTTAATTAACTATTTGCATTTACACAAGTATGAAAATGTTCTTTGATATAATTAATATTAGAAACATATATTATTTTAATATATTTTTGGATGATATTTCTTTTAATATTCAAAAATAGATAATATTTTATTATAATATTTAATTAAATATGTATATATATTTAAGTGATAAGAATTTATTTATTTGTTATTTATTTCTTTATCTTGATTTTAAATTAAATTAATAGCTTTTCAGTTTATTGAGAAACTCATATTTGTTTTGATAAGTGAATTATTTGAATGTTATCACGATCAGACTTCTGATAAATATTATTGTAACGTAGGTGTTCAATCAATGTCTGATGATGGGATTTTATAGTTACTTGATCTTGTCATAATAAGTATACTTTGAGATCATCATGCAGTGCATTTTTTTCTATCTTATAGATAGACTTTCACTATTACTAATAGATATTATATTTACTTAGTGTATGACAGTCCTATAGTATTATTATTTTGAGCTTTTGTATATGAAAGTATTTCAAAATGGCAATAGTAACTGTGTTCATAGCAATTTACTTTGAATTTTATAACTGAATGGTGTTTATGACAATAATGATATTTCTTAACAAAAAAATAAAAGGTGATGAAGATAAGACTAAACTAATAACAAGACTAAACTAAAATGTAAACTTAATCAAAACTACACAAAATTCCAAAATAAAATCAATTTAACATGTCAAACTCGATATTAAACCAAAAGAAACTCAAAACCAAAACTTAAGAACTTAAATCAAACTGAAAGAACTTAAAATATAAACTAGAAAACTTGATTTTTATTAATTATCAACACTTGTATTTATACATGTTTTCATATTACAGTAGCACAGTGTGGCACAGTAATGCACAGTATGGCACAGCATGGCGTGGTTAATCTTTACTAATACTATGAAATTATTGGTTCTCTTTTAAATTACACAAAATTTAACTACATCATAATTAATAATATTGTTCTACATCTAAATACCAATAGCAAAAATAGAAAATAAAGACTAAACTAATATAGATAATAATGAAATTTGCCAAGAAAATAGCGTGATAAATATATTCAAATAAAGATAACAATAAGATAAATATAGAAAGATAAATAATATGAGAAAGAAAAAGAAGAAAATAGAAAGAAATAGAAGGGAGTAGAATATTATCGAACCAATTACATAGTCTAAATATCATTGTAACTAATTTTTATCATGCCGTATCTTTTGTTTACGTGTTCTTTATATGAAATTATAGTTGATATTGAATTAGTGACAATATGAAGAATTTACCAGGGTGACTTCCAAAAGTTCAAATCACGTGATAATTTTTTGATGACGTCAATAATGCGAAAAGAATTAGGATTTGGATCTGGATCAAGATTATTTGGCAAGAAACATTTTTTATTAGAATACAAAAGATAGTTTTATAGGCTAGATTTTGAGATACAAGCTTTTTTTTCAAAACTATGTCTTTGTTTGAATTTTGTATTACACATTGATCTTGCAATTTAATTGGTCATCATCACTGACATCATCAAAAAATTATTACGTGGCAATATGAATCTTGTATTAGCATTAAAGAATATAACTTTCAAAATATAAAAAATATATAATAAATCAAAACAAGAATTTTTTAATATACAATATTGAAAATTTTAAGTATTAAATATTAATTCTTGTTGTAATTACAATTAAACTTTTATATAATTATATTATATAAAAATTTCATTATGATTATTTTTTTATGAACTAATTATAATAAAAGTATTTTATTATATATTTATATAAAATTTTATTATAATTATATTTATAAAAAAATTACTATTGAATTTAATAATATAACTATAGAAAGAATTAACTATATTTTTTAAAAAAATAATTAATTAACTAAAAACTGAAATTATTAAAAGTTTATAGATTTGATTATATATATTATATATATATATATTTTTCTATTTTTATATTTAATAATTTTAGTATTTATTATAGAAAAAATAAAATTAATTTTATCATATTGTCACCATTTCTAGGGCCATTACATATGATAATGATTCTAAAATATGATTTGGACTGTGTTCATGAATGGAAGGTTGAATGGCTGAACTATTTAAAAGAAAAATCTTACAACATCATAAAAATAACGAGTGAAAGAGATTGGACAAACATAACTTTACCAAGAAAACTAATAAAGCAAAATATCTTTTATTATAAAATTTAAATTTTATACTATTACAAATTCTTTGCAGATCACGTGTAACAATATGAATAATATAAATAGAATAGAATATCAATACGAGTTCATGCAAATTATTAACGTTAAATAATGGCTGTAACTAATTCGTTGAATCTTAGGAGTCCAGGTTTTTATTATTTTGCTTAGGATGTTTACATATTAATAAATCTATAATAATACATTCTTTATTAACTTAAAATTCTTTAATATATATTAGCTGTAAAACGGCTTCTTCAAGAAGCCCGCGAATTACAACGTGACCAATCAATAGACTATGTAGCGAATCCCTTAGAGGTTTGTCATTATTTTATTTTTCCTCGTTTGATACACAACTACTGAAAAAAGATTATAACAAAAGGGTATCGATTCCTTCTTTCATGAAATAAGGATAACATCTTTGAATGGCATTTTGTAATTCGTGGACCTGATAATACTGAATTTGAAGGTGGGAGGTAGGAACTTAAATTTTTGAATTTTAAATTTATCCCAGGATTTTTTTTGATTTGTTTTTTTTAATCACATTTATCTTAGCATTTTTTTTAATTCGACCATTTATATATTATTGTTTTATTAAAAGGTATCATGGGCGTATCATATTTCCCTCGGAATATCCATTCAAACCGCCAAATTTGATGCTTCTGACAGTTAGTATCTAAATCTAATACTCGTCTTCAATTTTATTAGTATGTGAGTGTACGTATATATATTGTGTGTTTGAATGGAAGGAAAAGAGAAAATATTACCTATTCAATTCGCTTTTTCTGAGATTCAAACTGCATGTATATATTCTCTCATAGTAGCAATAATCATTTACTCTTTATTATTAATGTTGTTTTGCAAATTTATTTTTTATATTATTGTTTATTTAGCCAAACGGACGATTTGAATTAAACAAAAAAATCTGCTTAAGCATTACTGGATATCACCCGGAATACTGGCTTCCAGCTTGGGGAGGTGTGTGGTTATACACGATTATTTTGAATTTATAGTTGCTGTTTTACTAATTCTAGCCTGTATTACTGTGAACCAAATCTTTATTTTAGTTCGTACTGTTCTTTTAGGTTTAATTGGATTTATGACTACAAAGTGTAAGTAAATAATGATATTTGAATGTTTAGTTTTTGATGTGTTTATTGATCAATTTTTCTTGTGCTACTTTACGATTATTTAATAATAGCTAATGGTGCAATCGGAGGAATTGATTACACTGAATCAGAAAGAAAAAGATTAGCAGTAAAGTTAGTTTTAATACTTGACTTTATATAAATTGTTGAATTATTAATTAATAATGATAAAAAATATTATTAGGTCACGAGACTGGATCTGTTCCACTTGTGATGTTTCTAATATCTGTTCATTACCCGATAGTCGAGATGATGCAAAACAAGAAAGTGAAGGTTCTACAAATTTATCTGCTAATACTGGTACTAATATTCCACAATTTTCATTTAAATATGAAGACAAAGATGATAAGAATGGCATTGAAAATGGTGATTCAACGAGCGAATCTAGCTTAACAGCTAAATCATCATCATCATATGATTTTGGCAATAACAGTGTTAATGATTCTAAAGGTAAGAAAACAGGAATAATCTTTCGATATTTCTTATTTAAATATACTTTCATACAATGTCACTTTATCACAATATATACGCGAACCAGCCGGAGTAATTGACTTAAACACAAAAATTGACGAAACAGGCACCACTGCAATTACCGCTTCCTCATCCTCCTCCTGCATCGACCTTGTCGACCCAAATGACTCCACGATAATACGGAAGCACTCATCAATTGCCTTTATTTCTGAAATACCAGATGAAAAAGCTAGAATATCAAAACAACAAGAAAAATACTCACAACAAGAAATTGATGAGGACGATAACGCTTTTATTAATAATAATGATGACGATAGTAAAAATCTCCTTAATACCAATAGTAGTGGTAATAATGATACTATTAATTATAACAACAGTAGTAACACTAATATTATTAGAACTCATTTACGATCTACACCAACACAACCACCACCGCAACTTCGTCGTCCTACATATTCACCGCCTCTATCGCTATTCTTTCTCGATTCTATAATAATAACTTTAATATGTGTTGTGATTGGTTTGGTGGCTAAAAAAATCAGTTTTTAATAGTATTTATTCTATATTACCTCAACACCGTAAGTGACCTATAAAAGATCCGAGGGCACATTGTACGGAAAAGTGATAGTAATTGGAGAGGTTCTTGTCTGGGTATAGATGGGCGAGTAATTATTAAGGGTTGTGTCATAATGTTACGCCAGCCGAATTGATTTTGTCAGAAAAACCAATCAATTTTACTAATATAATTGAACTATCGTTCTATTATATACCTCTGACGAATTCAGATCCCTTGCATAATAATTATGGCTGCCATAATGAGATATACATGCTACAATTCGGATACACGCTATTGTTATTTTTGATGTTTAAAATAATAAATTATTTAGATCTCTAACAAGGCTTATCTTAAAGTGTCTTTAAAATAGTTTTTAACAAATGTACAAGTTTTTGGTATTTATTATAAATAACAGATTTCTTGAAAATCGCGATCATCGTGCTCCGCTATCTCTGTTCTGTCGGCGTAACCTGTGATATAAATCAATCAACATCAAATTATTCTCAATGAATCCAAAATCTTATTATCTAATTCCAACTCATTTTCTCAACAAAAATTTAATTATTCTCCTAAAATATATCCCAACATAAATTTAACTATTCTCCTAAAATATATCGCGACATAAATTCAGCATCCATTAGGAAACTATCTTGTACAGATCTGCAAATTTATGATGGATTTTATTTTTATAAAGATTTTGATATTCAGTAATTAAAATTTAAAAATTTCAGCAGGTTGAAACTGAAATTATAAAAATTATTAGTATATAATTTGCTGAAATTTCCAGAATTTTGGCTTTTGATATTTGATAAAATAATTTTGGCAAGCATCTTTAAAATTGGAACCAAGATTATATAATAAAATTAATATAATTTTCAATTAAATGCAATTAAACTTTTCTATAATCACATTTATTTTTAGTTATATCTCTTTATAATCATCTTAGTTTGCTTTTTTATTTATAAATAAACATAGCAAAAAAATTTCTTTATAGTTACATTCTCTCTATAGTCACCAAATTTTGCTTTTTTAAGAATAATAACTATAAAAGAATTTGATTATATAATTATTTTATTAATTATAAAAAAATTAAAATTAATAATTACAATCAGATTTTTATATAAGTATTTTTTATATAATCACAAAATTAATATAATTATATTTTTTATTATAAAATATAAAAAATTTGATTATTATATAATTAGGGTGAATTTATTTGTCACCATCAGCGATAGTCACTGATCACGTGTATATGTGTTCATCACATGATATTGTTGTATAATGACCTTTCGTTATAACATTTAATATTATTGGATTATAAATATCTCATATTTTATTGGATAAAGATT